TGTTATGCTTCCGCGCCACGCTGGGAGTTTGGGCTGGCCCGCAGCAGTCTGCCGAGCCAAACTCCAACCTCAGGCGCCGCAATCCGCACCTACCGAGACCCTCCGAGAGCCGGGGCGCCGAGCGAGGCGGGAAGGGAGCGGGGGCGCCCTCCGGGTCCTCGGTCGCTGCCCGCTGTGCGGAGATCACCGTGCGGTCAGGTGCGCTCCGGGGCTGGCGGGAGGCATCGGGACTCCCGAGCGGACTGCAGGGCCGAAAGTCTCAGCCGGGCCATCCTTGATTACCTGCCGCATACGCTGTAGATACCTTCTGTGTACCCGGCGTGCATGTGACCCCTGCTGTATACCTGCTGTGTATCTGGCGTGCGTGTGCCCTTGTTGTATACCTTCGTGGACGTGCCCCTGCTGCATACTCGGCATAGATGCGCTCCTGTGTACAGCGGAGTGATGGCTCCCTTCTGTTTCCCGGATAGGACGTGCCTCCTGCTGAATACCCTGCGTGGACCTGCAAGCGCTGGGCGATCTTGAGGTGCCTACAGGGGCGTCAGGGAGGTGAACAGACTCTACGGGGGAGCGCGGACTTTGCTTTGGCAGCTGCAGCTCCCGGCGTCGGTGGGCCCGGCCGGCGGCGTCTGCCTCCTCCCGTGGCTCGCAGCGCTGGACCATGAGGAACACCAGCAAGGAGCTGCAGGGCGCCACGCACCGCTATGCCCCCTGCGGTGAGTGCACCGGGAGCGAGGCCCGGCCAAAAAAGAGCCAGGGTACTCACTCTGCTTGCTAAAGGGGCTATGGACTCATTGTCCTCTGTGTGGGCGGGAGTGAAGGGCGTGGATGGGGGGATGGGGGAGCAAGTGATAAAGCTATCCAGTCATACCATCAAAGAAAGCAGCAGACTGCTTCTTCGCAGAGTGTCAGATCAAGGGTTAAAGAGAAATGGGGAGGCCGGGGGAAAAAAGTCTTTAAAAAAATTTTCAACAAGAGAGAACTAAGTTTACGTGCTGTTGCCTCAGTCGTTGGAGCAATGAGATTCCTTTAAAATTTTCTTTCCCATCGTTTAAATCCACACACCTCTATCTCTCACTGTCTTCCTGAATGTTGACTTAGGAACTTTCTTTTTCAGCAGCATCCCCCAGGTATTTCCCTAACTCCTTGGCTCTTGCTTCTAATTGTAACCCCAGACAAGTTAAATTTATTTTCTGCTTTGAGTGGTTGGATACAGAAGAGAGAATTCACTGGTGGTTCATGTCTTCTTGGGTAACAGGGTTTGAAGTGGAGGAGAAGGGAAGGAAGAAGTCTTGAGATACTGCCTTCTGGTTTTTTTTTCCTGTTGTTTTTACTCCTCTCCATCTTGTGAAAGGCTGGGTAGAGAAGAGGATCCTGGGCCCAGCTGGGAGAGCAGAGTTGGAGCTGGCAGGCACGCTGAAGCTGTCACATCTGCTCAGAAATGAACCGAAATGTGGCCCTTCCATGTACTCTAAACATGCTTCTAGCCCAGAGGTCTGACTGTGACTTAAAGACACTGTGGCCATGCTAGGGACTTGGGAGGGAGCAGCACCGGAGGCCTGGCTGCTTCTCTTCTCTCACTGTGGGATCTGGAGCCTTCTTGGTGCCTTAGTTAGTGGCCTCATGTGTATGAACAACACTGATATACACTAACAAGTGCTAGGCACTGTTCTAAGCACTTCAAATACATGGACTCATTTAACATCATAACAGCCCTATGAGTTATCATTACCCCATTTTACAGACGAGGACATTGAGGCAAATAGAGTTTGGAGTAAAATTGCCCAAGGCTGCACACCTAACGGGTGACTCCATAGCCCATGCTTTTAATCCCTGTTTTGTGAGGCTGCAGCAGCCTAAAGACAGGAACCTGTGTTCCTGTGGGTATGTTGTTATATAAAACACTGCCTTGTGCCTTAGAGACCAGAAGAGCCAGGGGATCTTCAGTTCAGCTCACAGCCTCTCTCAGCTTGCTACCTTGTTGATAAAATAAGAGTGCTAAATATCTGACTTATGATAAGACAGAGAAGGCTATATAAAGAAAATCTCCAGGATAGGAAGTGATCTGGTATCATACACATACTAACAATTTTTGAGTGATAAAGGTTAAATGATAACTTATAGTTCCTGTTATCCTCTGTGTGTGTGTGTGTGTGTGTGTGTGTGTGTGTGTGTGTGTGTGTGTATGTTTATGTTAAGTGATGACAGTTGGTTCTCTCTCATTGGGACCCTCGCTTTCTGAGTTCCTCCTTTGAATGCATTTATAAGTGACAGACTAGATTAAAATTCAGGGCCTGTCCAAAACGTCCAGCAACAGAAGAAGGTAGAAGACACACTGTCCTCTGTGGATTAATTAGTAATCAAAACACAGAGACAAAAAAATAAAGCAAGAAATGAATGCCTTCTCTAAAAGAGAAAATATTGGAGCTGAATATGATCAGAGTATGAAGCTGCTAAACTATTATTCTTAATTTGTAAATTGATTCTCTGTGATCTTCTGTGCAATTAGTTAAAACTTTCCCAATTTTTTTCTTTCCTTTTCAAAACTGTATAATGTCGATTCAGCTATTTAGTGTCCTTTAGATATTTAAAAGATTTTCTGTATAGGGAAAGATTTATTTTAAGGCATTGGCTCACATGGTTGTGGAGGCTGGCACATTTAGGATTTCCAGTGCAGGTTAGCAGGCTGGAGACCCAGGGGAGAGGTGATGTTACTGCTAAAGTCCAAAGGTGGTCTGGAGGTAGAACTCCCTCTTCCCGGGAGGAGGGGAAGGGGTGTCTCAGTTTTTTTTCTTAAGACCTTCAACTGATTGTATGAGGCCTACCCACATTGTGGAGGAAAACCTGCATTACTCAGAGTCTACTGATTTAAATCTTATTCCCATCTAAAAAATAAAAAAAATACCTTCCCAGAAACAGCTAGCATAATACTCGATCAATATCTGGGTACCATGGCTCAGCCAAGTTGACACACAAAATTAACCATTACACCAACCAACAATAGGGTATTGTGTTAGACTCTGAATGTCATGAATCTGTGTCAGTGTATTCTGAAAGTGCCATTAAATATACCAGGTCACTTGTACCACATTAATTACATCTTTTGTATTTTGCATTTTTCCTGAATTTTGTTTCCAAAGTTTTCAATCAACTGTGATATTTTTTCGTATGTTTGAGCATCTGGTTGATCAGTTTCTGATTTGAGTGATTAGTCTGACTGTACTGGTCTCTTCTCTGTGGAGTCATAAATACACACTAATAACTTCAGGTTCCTGGGAAAGTGCCAACACCTCTAGCTTGTGAAAGAATCCTGCCAGTATGACAGGCTGTCTCCAGGGAGTCTCATAAGTGGTCCCAGGCAAGCATGCAGGGCCTGTCCTGGATGTCTGTCCCCTAAGCCACAGCCTTAGGGGGCCTCCTCACTTCACCAGGCCCATTTTCAACTCATCTGCCCATGGCCCTTTTCTGCACTAGGCTTAAATCGCTATAGGAAGGAAGAATGGAGACAAGCTGTCCTTCATTTTCCTCTCCTTCATCCTTCCCCCACGCTATTGCACCCAGCTTCTTCTTCATGGGGCCCCTTCATAATAGAAGTTACACAGTCTATACTCAGTGTTTCAACTTTATCATTCCCAACGGAACCAAACCCAGTCCCCTTATGAATCTCCTGTCTGGGAAGGTATTCGTAGCTCATGGTCACTCTGGTATGCCAGTTCTCCTTCCCTCTTCTCCTCTCTGTCTTCAGTAACCACCTAGACCTGTTGTTACCTCTCACTGCCCACTGCTTGGGCACAAGCTAAGCTAGTGGAGGGGCTTGTGTGTCAGAGGCTGCCAGCTCTGAGAAGCGCTCGCCTGTCTTCTGGCCTGGGCGGTGGGAGGAGGCGGCACAAGGTACACTTCAAACACAGTTGCTAGGCAGGGCATGGTGGCTCAGCTGGTAATCCTAGCACTTTGGGGGGCCAAGGTGAGAGGATTGCCTGAGCCTGGGGATTCGAGACCAGCCTGGGCAACTTGGTGAGACTTTGTCTCTGCAATAAATCACAAAAACTAGCCAGGCATGGTGCCATGTGTCTGTAGTTCCGGCTACTAGAAGGCTGAGGCGAAAGGATCACCTGAGCCCAGCAGGTCAAGGCTACGGTGGCCATGAGCATGCCGCTGCATTCCAGCCTGGGCGACAAGAGTGAGACTCCAACTCAAAAACAAAAACAAAACAAAAAAACCCATGGTTGCTCAGTAGACAGGCCTCTTTGACCACACTCCAGTCCTGCCTCTTTTTGCTCTTGCAAAATTGGTGTGTTCAAACAGGCCATTATTTCTATGACAGACTTTATATTTCAGTATAATATTTTTAACATACCAAGTTTGTCAAATCTTGGTCAACATTTGACCATGTATCCCACAAGCTTACCCATAATGTTTGAAGTGATTTGGCAGTTTTCCAGAATGCATTTTCCTCATCGTAACCAGGACTACAGTCAAGTCTCAATTCTATGGAGGGTTAAGAAAGAGAGACAGATACCTAATGGAGCCTGGATACCTCCCTGGGAAGGCTCTAAAAACAACCAAAGAGGCTCAACCCTTACAGCTTTGGTGAGGAGGGTCAGGTTGCAGCTGAGAAACAGGAGTAGCAAGGCCACATAGAGGGCACTTTCCCTTCTGTTGGCTTCAATGGTTGACATACCTGTGAACAAAAGAGACTTAGCTGTACAACTGAGTAGCAACTCATTGCAGGTGCTCAAAGGAGGGCAGTTTCTTCCTTGCTAAGGTGCCCTGTGGCGTGCGTTGCCCTGACAGTGTTGTCTACACAAAGATAGTCTCGTAGAGGACAACAATGCCTTCCTGACTCGTGTCCTCCTGAAACCCCATGTAACAACAGCATGGCCTTTGGCCTTTCTCCTCTCTAGATTGGTATTACCACCTCCCCATGAAGAGGTCTGAGAAGACCGTGAATATCCCACCAGCGTCCCAGATCCCAGGGCTCAACAATTTGGGAGACTCACACAATGGGAACACGCTTGGAATTCGGAGATATTGGATAAAAGAAACAGACTCAGAATATGTGAAGCTTGCAAAACAAGGCGGCAGGCCTGGTAAGCCCTTCTTGTACTGGGCTTGATGTCCCCTTCAGTGCCCTGGTTTTGAGAGCAGTGAGGGGGCATTTGTTCTTAATTTCTTCCATATAAAAATATCACTATACAATCTGTGAGTTTTGCTTTAGGCATTTGAAAATTTTCAGTTAATTGAGTACAACTAGGGATGTGTATAGTCTTCAGGGATGAGCTAACTTTATGATGTTAGCTGAATAGGTTGAATTCCCAAAACTGGCTGTGGAGAACATTTCTTCTGAGTGACAGATACCTTTGCAATAATTCACATCCCCCACCCCCCATTTTATTTTCTTTTTCAAGGAGAATCTCAGGAAGTTGCCTGCTTCAACAGAGAATCTGTCTTTGTACCCTAACACTCTTGAGAAATGTCTTTTTTTCCTATTGTTTGTTATCATTGCCCCTTGTCCTTTGTATGAAAATGTTTTAAATAAGATGGATAAGTTTTAGTATTGATGTTGATTAGAGTCAAACTTTTCTATATGAATTAATTGAGAAAACTCCACTTGATTGTGCTAAAAACTAAGGCAGTATTTAAGTTTAATGTAAATCGCTGATTAGAAGGTTAAGAGACCACATCTAACATGTCTCGGAGACAGCCTTTGGGATCAGTGACTTGGAGAGACACTGGTCTTTTTCCCCTCTGACTGCTGTTCCCCCATGGGGATTGTCATAGGGGAAGCAGGAAACAAAATGGCAATCATTTCAACATTAAAAATCCCGGATCAAACAATTTTTAGTGGATATGAAGCACATAGGATCTAGATATTTCTTTTCTTAGATACATGACTCCCTGCCATTGGTTAAGAACTTTAATGGGACAACTGGTAAAGTCTGAATAGGGTCTGTAAATAGGATACAAATATTGCATCAATTTCAGTTTCCTGATTTTGATCATCAGGCCATGATTATGTGAGGACTATTTTTTGAAAACATCCACTGAGATGAATGAATCCACATGCAGGGACATGTCTGCAACACACTGCCCAACGGTTGTGAAAACAGTAATGATAATAATAATAATGAGACAGAAAGATATGGGTAGAAAGAGAGAGAGAGAAAATGATAAGGCGAGTGCGATGAAATGAGATAACATTTGGGAAGTCTAGGTGAGAGTATGGGGGAACTCATACTGTTCTTGTAACTTTTCAGTAAGTTTGAAATAGTTAACAAAGTAAAAAATAACTTGTATACCTAATCCTGAATTTAAAATACCTATCTTTTGTTAAATCCAAGATTTTAAGTCCGAGAGACCACAAAGAGCCAGCTCCGATGCAAACACACGAGGGTCTTTATTCAGGCTCGAGTCTGGGCTCATGTTTGAAGCCGATGCAGCGGCTTCAGGGATCAGAGAGCCCTGATCCAGTATAGCAAGCAGTTTTTATGCACAATTACAGAGGGAGGGGAAAGAACTTTAAACTTGTTTTTACATGATTGGGTAATTTCTCCTAATGGGTATGGGGGCACTTGGGATTGGTAGGTTTATTTTCTGGTTTGCACGGGCTCTAGCTTAGTTGCCTGTGATTGACGGGAAACGGCTAAACGGGCAGAGTGGAATGTCAGATAAGCTAGGTTTACACAGTTACTGCGTGTAAATTAACTTTGGCATGGGAGCCGGAGGTTTGAACCAACATAGAGCCCACCAGGAGAGTGGCTAGCGCCTCAGAGTCTACTGCAATCTAAGCAAAGGAATGTCTGGAAGGGGCTTATCGCTTAACATTTACATCCCATTGCAGAAGCAGAAGTCGGCATGGCAATTGGGATGAACAGAGCTTAACAAGAGTTCCAAGTACACACACTGCTTAAAACATTGTATAACTTTACAATCACAGTCACTACCAGGCAAAGGAACATGCCTAGTCCTGCGGGGCCTGAGGTAGGATTTAAAATACTAAGAATTCATAAAATATAGCAAACGTGAGGCAGGGATATATAAAATACAGTGAACGCTTCTTTTACAGTAAGTATAGCTTTTTTTTTTTTTGAGTCTCTTGGGTCCCTCACTTTAAAATAAAAAAGTAAAAATAATAAATAAAAGTCAAAAATATAGGAAGTTAAACATTTTTTACTGATAGTTATAAAGCAGTAAAAGTTGTCTGTGGCTGCCCCAGGCATTGTTATCATTTTGCTGTCCTTGTTATCAGGAAAACCAACACTGCCCATTCCCCCTGCCTTTTGACATAAAGGGAGGGAAGGGATGGGGACTAGAATGCAATTGGACGAGTCAGGTGCTACTATAACTCTCTGGGAGGGATCTCATGCCCTGTGCTTCTCAGGGTTGCACCAAGGTGACTGAAAAGTCCCCAAGGTGCCTTGTAGGGGCCTGTGACCCACTTCCTACCTGGAAACCTGGAGGGGCAACTTCTCCTGGAATGGCTGGGTAGAGGACCAGGGCAGCCGCACAGTGGCAGAGGAGTACAGTCTCAAGAATGGGGTCAGGGTAGCTGAGGGCAGGGGAGCCAGTAAGCATGACCCCTGGAGACATGAGAAGTGGGGAACTGAGCCCCCTCCAGGATCTTCATCCATATCCTAGAAGAGGAAGTGAGGTGGTGGGGGGATGCATGCAGTATGTCCCTGCCTCAGCACCAAGCAGGACCCTCATCCAGCAGTCTGTGTGGTGCGGAGGCAGGTGAGAACCAGGGGTGCTCTGTTACCCCAGAGGCACCCAGGTAGGTGCACAGCTCTCATTGTCAATCCAACCTACTGCTAGTAATGCTGGTTACCCACGTCAGGCAGCAGGGTCACTCACAGTGTCTTTTTCTCTTTTAGATTTGTTGAAGCACTATGCCCCGGGGACCAGGAAAGGTTCCCCGGTCACCTATTCTCTGCCAGATTGGTATATTCACCACAGCAAGCCACCGACGGCCAGCCAGCGAGAGTGAGTATCTTGAATCATCCACATTTTTGTTTGTCATTATAGGAAAAAAACAGCCACCTCCCAAACCTGCATTCCCAGCCTCTGACCACTGCTCCCTGGCCTCTTCACTTGCTATCTCAGAGGCCCTTAACCTGCCTCCTTCTGGTGCTTTCCCACTGTGATGCCCAGGACTCCCTCCTCGGCCCCTGCCCCAGTTGCCTGCTCTGTGCCTGGAGTCTAGTACCCCATGCTGTTTGCTGGGCAGGGACAGATGAGGAGCAGGATGTGGTGGCATTCCTGCAGCCCCTGACACGCTGTGTGTAGGGGTGTGTGCTGCCATTTCAAGCTTGATCCAGTCTGCTTCCCCATTCAAATTTTGTTAGTTGGTACCTTCAGGAATCTAAAGTTAAATCATTCCGGTGCTTGTAGGTGACCCATCTGTATGCATTGTTTGTGTGGGAAGACTGGTTGCAAGTTAAAATACCTATATTAAACATGACTATCTAGGCTGGGTGCAGTGGCTCATGCATGTAATCTCTGTACTGTGGGAGGCCAAGGTGAGAGGATTGCTTGAGCCCAGGAGTTTGAGACCAGCCTGGGCAACATAGTGAGATCTCATCTCTCTTTAAAAAAATAAAATAAAATAAAAACAGCTGGGGGTAGGAGGTGTATGCCTGTAGTCCCAGCTATTTGGGAAGCTGAGACAAGAGAAGGATTATTTGAGCCCAGGAATTCGAGGTTGTGGTGAGCCATAATCCTACCTCCACAATCCAGCCTGGGTGACAGAGTGAGACCCCAACTCAAAAACAAACTAAAGGATCACCCAACAGAAAACAGAGTTATTATTATTTTAAATGATCATGTAAAATGGTAAATGCTTAGAAGTGTTTAGCGATCTTAAGTGGTCAAGAGCAGTAGATGCTATTCTAAAAGAAATAATTATTTTATAATTTATTTGTTTTATAAGTTCACATTTTAGTATATCTCATTTTACTAACATTGAGACTCTAACATTGAGACTCTCTCCTGTGAGTTGGCCTTGTGATCCAGGGAGGCAGGCCCTGAGGAGGGTTGGTGTATTTATTTAGCAGGAGCAGAAGAAAGGGGCCACCTGTATTTTCAAAGAAGATGGTTGGTGCTTTGTACAGAAAGAGCAAGAAAAAGACAAAAAGAGGGAGAGAAAGCAAGAGAGGAGAAGAGAGAGAAAGAGAAAGCAAGAAGGAGAGGGAGAGAGGGAAAGAGAGAAAAGGAGCAAGGAAGGGAGGGAGAGAGAGGAAGGAAGAAAAAATGGAGATGGTGGCAGGGAGGGTGAAAAGGAAGGAAGGACGGAGGGAAGGAGAGAAAGGGAATGGTACTAAGCACCAGGCTATAACCCCCGATCTGTTCCTGCAGAGTGCCAGCCGTCTCCGTGCCAGATTACATGGTTTATGAAGAATTTAACCCTGATCAGGCCAACGGTAGCTATGAATCCAGAAGAGGGCCCTTCGACTTTGACATGAAAACAGTTTGGCAGAGAGAGGCCGAGGAACTTGAAGAGGAGAAAAAAAAGGTGATGGGAGTCCATAAATAGATGATATCTGCGTCTGCTTTGCTTCTGTGGTCTCTGAATAATTAAGTGATGTGATTGATATTAGCTGCAGGTGGTGTCTTATGTTGCCCGTAGCATCAGTCACACATTCTGTATTTTAAGTTTGGATCTACTAAAAGGCAAGAAGCAACCATACTAGTATCCTTTTTCTTTTTATGAGTATTAACCTTAAGAGCTAAGATTACTTTTTACTAAATGATTTATAACTAGTTAATGCTTATCCAGGTGAAAGTGGGCATAGCACTTCTTCTCTGGCAAACACAGAAAGGAAATTTTTATTTTAAGGAGCATCTGAGAAATTCAGAAGCTGTCTCTGATTGGTGGATACATTGTTGCGATATCTTGATGGGATGACCTTCCTCAAGGGATCAGCAATCAGACCAGCAGCACTGCTGAGGGCACCTCTTAGCCCAGGGCACTAGTAGCAGGGCTGACATTTGTCTTAGCTCTTGGGACATTGGGATTTGTGAGTGAAATGAGGAAAATCATATTAAAACGAATCATCTTTTGATACTGAGAACAAGAGTGAGCAGCCCCATCATATGACGGACTGGTAAGCATGATCATTTTAAATAGTGACGTGACTGGATGTGTCTTAGTGTGGGCAGAAGTTGGTGTCATGAGCTATCCACACCTGCTCCCAGGTCTTGCTTCAATGTCCCGGTTTGAAGAGAAATTCCTCAGTTTATTTTGGGGACTTTTTTTATTGAGTAGTTGGACATCAGTTGGCTGCAATGGGTCTCCTTTTTACTCTTCAAGACATTCCTAGTGTCCAGCTGTGATTCTGACTTTGGGTTGTTTGCATGCCCAGTGCAAATGTACTGTTTTGTTGTGGTGGTGGTAGTGGTAGTGGTGGTGGCCTGACTAGCTGTATTTTTCTTTCTATAAATGCTGATAATCCTTCCTTGGGGTTTGTTTGTTTGCTTTTGTTTTCTCCTGTTTTCCCATAGCATTTATTTCTAATTTTTACAATATATAGTTTTGTTTATTTTTGAGTTGGAGTACAGTAGCGTGATCCCAGCTCGCTGCAGCTTCAACCTCTTAGGCTCAAGTGATCCTTCCACCTCAGCCTCCCAAGTAGCTGAGGCTACAGGTGCATACCACCATGCTAGGCTAATTAAAAAAAATTTTTTTTATAGGGATGAAGTCTCACTATATTGCCCAACCTGGTCTTGAACTCCTAGACTTAAGCAATTCTCCCACCTCAGCCTCTCAAAGTGCTGGGTTTACAGGTGTAAGCCACTGTGCCCAGCCTGTTTTTTGTCTTGTTTTGTTTTTTTAATTAGAGACAGGTCTTGCTTTGTTGCTCTGGCTGTAGTGCAGTGATGCGAACATAGCTCACCATAACCTCGAACTCCTCTGATCAAGGGACACTTCTGCCTCAGCCTCCTGAACAACTGGGATTTCAGGTGCCACCATGGCACCCTCCCAAAATGAACTGTTTTAAGGGTAAGGTCTTTTTCTTAGCAATGTGTTAGTGGCTAATTATACTGAACTGCAACCTCTAGTGATAAATGGAATCTTTGGATGTTAATCACGGTTATAGAGCATACCTCAAGAAATCATAAAACACTAAGCTAAAAGTTTCATCACTCCCAAATCAAGTGGGGTTATTTATTTAATGACCACTTACAAAATCTGTGCTGGAGGCGGCATAAAGTTCTCGAAGCCAGCATGTTCTCTGCCTCATTGTAAGGAATACAAAGAGTGGTGGTTACAAACACTGAATATTTAACAGGTGAAAGGAAATAATGTTGGGCAGGGCACATGTCAGAACAGGCTCAGGTTCCACTGTTGAGATAATGTAATCACCGCTCTGGTATGAAACTCACCTACAAGTGACTATTGCATCCTGGGAATGGACCAGGGGACATTCCCTGGCCACACACTGAGCATGTGGTAGACACTCAACAATACTCAGAGCAAACGTGTTACCTGTTGGTTACCAGCATTCGTGGGGTCTTGCTCACCTATGGGGTGATTGGGGGATCTTGTTTCTTTTTTCTGACTAGCTGTCTTTTTCTTTCTATAAATGCTGATAATTCTTCCTTGGGGTTTGTTTGTTTGCTTGTGTTTTCTCCTGTTTTCCCATAGCATTTATTTCTAATTTTTACAATATATAATTTACATAGAGTAAAATTCACCTTTTAAAGAGTACCGTTCTGTAAGTTTTGACAAATGTGTGCATTGTGTAAGCACTGCAACCAGCAAGGACAGAGCAGTTGTGTCACCCCCAAATTCCTATGCCCTTTTGTAGTTGACCCACCCCCTACTCCCCAGTCTTGACAAGCCCTGATCTGCTTTCAGTCTTTATAGTTCTTCCTTTTTCAGAATGTCAATTTAAGGCAGTCACACTGCATGTGGTCCTCACATCTGGCTTCTCCCATGTGGCATAATGCATTTGAGACTTGACCATGCTGTTAAGAGCATCAGCAGTTTATTGTTTTGTACTGCTGAATAGTGTTTCATTGTGTGATCATGGTGCAATTGTTGACCCATTCATCTGCTGATAGACATTTGGGTTGTTTCCAGGTTTTGGTGACTATTACTAAAGCCACTGTCAACTCCAATGTACAGGTTTTTCTGTGAACATATGTTTTCATTTCATGAGAGTGTGGGAAGTCCCTTTCATATTTCCCATGGTTAGTTCTTTTTTTTCCCTCCTGAGTAGATGGCTTCATTACCTGAATATAGCAACTGCTTTTGAATTACTGATTGTCCCCTTTATACAACCACTTTGTTGAATAGGATTATTGTAGAATGATATTTTTTTGTGACCATTTACCTGTAAAAGATGACCACACTGATGGTCCAGAAGTGCAAGTTTTGTGCCTTTGCTGCTTTTGGTGAGTTTTCTTCTCCTCTAGTGTCTGAGCTATTGCATGTTTTTCACCAACTCTGAGTTTTGTGTGTTTCTTCGCACAGGTGAGGCTACCAGCCATTAACTCAAAGTATCTGAGCAAAGTGGGGACCCCTCTTGGCCATAAAGACCCTGCAGGAAGTAGACTCTCCTTTCCTCCAATGTAAGTGCTTGACCTACATTAATGCTGTCTAGATTAGGTTTGGGTGTGATCTTCCGTCATCTTTTATCTGAGTGACCACTGTGACAATGACAGCATCCACACAACTTCCCACAGCCCAGACCCAGGTTCGTCTCCTTACTCCCTTGCCTTTTCACTGCATTTTTTTCCTTCTCAATGTCCTTTTGCCCCTGTTTGAGTGCATCTCTCCTTCCAGGTTGTGTTTGCCATAGGTTTGCAGTGTGGGCTCTCTTATTCTCCATCAGGCCGTGGCCTGCCTGGAACCTACTTCCATGGCGCCACCCCTCACCCCAGCTCGCTAGGGGCTGCCTCTCCTTGCACATATATTTTCTGTGTCTCCAAGGCCTGAACCCAGGCATCCATGCCTTGTCAAAACTCTGACTCTGTATTCTGCTGGAGTTAATCCTCCAGCTGGAGAGTGAAATCCCTGAAGCCTCAGGTGTCACCTTACTTTCCTAGAATCATAGTTTAGTGCTAAGATGAATGTCACTAATTGCTTCTTGTCCAATGGGGAAAAAACAGTCAAATCAGTTACATTGCATTATGATACATGTCGTGAGAGCTCCAAGCTCAGATGGGGAGATGGGGGTGGAATATATGTGTGTGATATAGATAGATAGGTAGATAGGCAGACATACAGACAGAGCACACACGTGCTGCCTTGACAACAAAGTGATTTACACATAAGAAACTTGAGGCTCAGAGTGGACAGGTAATGAATGGGTTACTACTGCTTGACTTGAAAGCTCATGCCGCCTTCACTGTGGTCCTGTCACTCTTCAGTGTGACTCACAGTAAGTTCTGAGGATGCAGCAGCTGTGAAAGGCTGAAAGGCCAAGCTACCAATGGTAGATGACAGGAGAGACAGAGCTGTGTAAAGGAGCAATATAGCAACAGATAATCTGTGATAAGGACAAGAAAGAACCAGTTAAAAAAGTAATCGTATCTTTTAAGAAAGGTAGGCCTCAGCAATCTATTACTACCAAGGAAAAGGGTAGTGTTTTCTGAAGAAGGCTTCCCTGTGAAATACTGGAATTATTACTAACTTTTCATTGTCTATCAAGAAGAAAAATGGTGGAAGCTGGACTAAACATGCTGTCACCCACATACAATGAATGCTTTGAAATGCAATTTCTTATGCTTAAAAAATGGAGGCAAAGACAGAGAGTTAGAGAGAGAGACAGAGGAGTAGAGAAACGGAGATAGAGGAGAAAGAGAAAGAGAGAGGTGGGTGGGAAGAGGCAGAAGGAGGGAGAAAGAGAGAGGAAGGCAACTCCCTGTTGTGTGTGTGTGTGTGTGTGTGTGTGTGTGTGTGTGTGTGTGTGTGTGTGTGTGAGAGAGAGAGAGAGACATATAC